CTGTGTGTGTGTGTGTGTGTGTGTGTGTGTGTGTGTGTGTGTGTGTTGAGATGGTGTGTTGCTATTCAGTTCAGGTTGGCCTTGAGCTCACTTTGTGGTCTGGGCTGGTCTCAAACTTGCAATGATCCTCCTGGTTTAGCCTCCCGAGTGCTGGGATTACAGGATTACAGATGTGTCCTACTATGCCCAGTTTGTGTCTCTCTCTCTCTCTCTCTCTCTCTCTCTCTCTGTGTATGTGTGTGTGTGTGTGTTTAATTACAGTAGCTTTGTACTATAACTTGAAGCCAGGGGTTGTGATGCCCCGTCTTGACTTTGTCACCCAGGGTTGCCTTTGCTATTTAGCTCTGTTCTGGTTCTGTATGAATTTTAGGATTGCTTTCTTTAATTCGATGAGATATGCTATTGGACTTTTGATTGGGATTGCATTGAAACTGTAACAGCTTGGCCAAGTATGGCCATTTTTAGTATATTGGTTCTTCCTAGCCAGGAGCATGGGATAGCTCTCCATTTTCTAATACCTCTTTAATCTCCTTTTTCAGAGTACTGTAGTTTTCAATATAGAGATCTTTTACATCCTTTATTAGATTGATTCCTAGGTACTTCTTTTTTTTTGGATGCTATTGTGAAAAGTGTTGTTTCCCTGATTTCTCTTTCAGTTTATTATTCATGTACAAGAAGGCTATTGATTTTTGAGTGGTAAGTTTGTATCCAGCTACATTACTAAATTTGCTTATTAAACCTAAGTAGTCTTTTTAGTGGAGTTTTTGGATTCATCTATGTAGAGTATCATGTCATTTGCAAATAATGATAGTTTCTTTCTTTCCTATCTTTATTCCTTTTGTTTCTTTCTCTTGTCTAATTGCTCCAGCTACAGTTTCCAGGACTGTGTTGAATTAGGAGTGGAGACAGTGGACATCCTTGTCTTGTTTCTGGTTCTAGGGAGAGAGTTTTCAGTTTTTGCCCATTTAGTGTGATGTTGGCTGTTGGTTTATCGTACATGGCTTTTATCAGATTGAGATAATAAAGACCATTTATTCCAATTTTCTGTGAGGTTTTTTTTTATCATGAATGGGAGCTGGACTTTGTCAAAGACATTTTCTGCATCTATTGAGATGATCATACAATTTTTTGCCATCAACTCTGTTAATATGGTGTATGACATTTATGGATTTACATATGTTCAAACATTCCTGCATCCCTGGAATGAATTCCACTTGATCATGGTATATACTCTTGGTGATTTGCTGCATTCTGTTTGCTAGTATCTTTTTTGTTGTGGTTGATACCAAGATGAAACTTAGGACTTGAACTTTTCGCTAGAGCCACTGAGCTAAATCCCCAGTCTCTCAATTCTGTTTTTTTTCTTTTTGGTACTGGGAATCAGACTCAGGACTTTGAGCTTGTTTTTGTTTTTTTTTTGTTTTTGTTTTTGTTTTTTGTCTTTTTCGTTTTTATCGGTACCAGGGATCGAACTCATGACTGCCTGCTTGCAAGGCAGGCGCTTATGCCGCTGAGCTAAATCCCCAGCCAGGACTTTGAGCTTGTTAGGCAAGCGCTGTGCCCCTGAACCATATCCTCAGCCCTGTTTGCCAGTATCTTACTGAGGATTTTGCATCTACATTCATTAGGGAAATTGGCCTGTAATTCTGTCTTAGTTGGATCCCTCTCTGGTTTTGGTATCAGAGTAATGCTTGCTTCAAGGAATGAATTTGAGAGTATTGCTTCTTTTTCCATTTCATTAGCGAGTCTGAGAAGTAGTGGTGTTAGTCTTCTCTAAATTTCTTATAAATTTCAGAGTGAATCAGGCAGAGCCTGGGCTTTTCTTTGTTGATAGGTTTTTAATTACATCTTCAGTTTCATTGATTGATAGTGGGTTGTTAAGGATTTTTATATCTTCTTGATTCAGCTTTGGTAATTCATATGTATCTAGGCATCTGTCCATTTTTTCTGTATTTTCCATCTTACTAGAAATTGCAAGTTTTCAAAGTAGATATAGATGATATTCTGAATTTCTGCACTCTTGTGATTTCACACTTTTCATTCCTAATTACATGTATTTGAGTTTTTTCTTTTGATAAGGTTGGATAAGGGTTTCTCAATTCAGTCTTTCAAAGAACCAACTCTTTAATTCATTGATTCTTTGAATTTTTTAGTCTCTAATGCATTAATTTCTGTTCTGATCTCTATAATTTCCTCCATTGTACATACAAAATTTTGGCTTAAGCTGCTCTTTTTCTGAAAGTTTGAGGTTCACCTTTAAGTTGTTTATATACACTTGCTTTGTTTTCCTGATATGGATATTTACTGCTATAAATTTTCCTCAAGACTGCTTTGTGTTTTATAAGTTTCAGTATGTTATATTATTGTTGTCATTCAGCTGTAAAAATTGTCTCATTTCTTATTTAATTTCATCTGTGACCCATTGGTTGTTCAGCAGCGTGCTATTGAATTTCCATGTGTTTATGAAGTTCTTGCAGTTTCTCGTGCCTCAGACAGTCTTCCTTAGCCTCTAGCCCACTCCACCTCTGAGCTGCAGACCCAGCCACCTCATCTGGGGGTTCAGAGTCTCCTTTGGGCTTTAGCTCCTCCATTGTTGCCCAACCTGGGATGCACAACTGAGAACCATTGAGAATGCCATGTGGTTATTTTTGTGCTACTGCACCTGACTTAACTAGTTACTACAGCTCACATGTACTGAAAGGGTAACATGTTTACTCTCTAGCCCTTGTATATTGTGGCGAACCTCTCATTGTTTTGTTTTCTTTCACTAGAATGTGAACTCCATAAAGATAGAGATCTTTCTTTTGTTCACTCATTCGTGTATCCTACTATTTTCTCTAAATATTTGAATAGAATAAAAAGTGGATTACTTTATATTATATAATGGAATGTTTAATTTTCAAAATATAGGCAACACTTAAATACTGTGCCATGTGAAGTATAGGTTTGTTACTCACATTTAACAATAGGATAAAACTGCGATTGAGAAAATCAACCAAGGTTATGCAGTTGAATACATGCTAGATCTGGGATGTGATCCTTGGAAATCTGACTTTAGGATTGGTTCTCTATAAATTATGCTTAATGCCTAATCTATACTGCCCTTTTTTTTTTTTTTTTTTTTTTTTTTGTACTGGGCATTACACCCAGGGCCTTTACACTGAGCACTTTCCAAACATTTTTTCATTATGGGATAGGGTCTCAGTGAGTTGCTTAGTGAAGCATTATGGTGCCTGCCTGTAATGCCTGGGGAGGCTGAGGCAGAAGGATTGTCGTAGGTTCGAGGCCACATAGTGAGTTCATGGGCCAGCCTGAGCTACAATGAGATCCTGGCTCAAAAAATGAAACAACAGCCAGGAATTTAGCTCAGTGGCTTAAGTGCTTGCCTTGTAAGTGCAAGGTCATGAGTTCTGTCCCCAGTACCAAAAAACAAAGACCAAGAAAATACCCCCCCAAAGCCCCCTAAAACAAAGAAGTAGTAAGTTGCTAAATTGGCCAGGCTGAATTGAATTTATGATGTATCTGCTTCCTGCTTTGCTTCCCAGAATGCAGGAAATACAGGCGGGTGCCACCGTGCCTGATTCACACTGTCTTTTATAGAGGATACTTGGTCAGTTCTGCCTGGTGTGGTGGTGCATGCCTTTAATTCCATTATTCAGGAGGCTTGAGTGGGAGGAGCGTTGCTATGTTCAAGGCTAGCCTGAACGACAAAGTGAGGTCGCCTCTCTCTGTCTCTTGTCTCTCTCTCAAAAAAGATAGTTTTATTATGTATAATGGCATAATTTACTTTAAGAGTTTATGTGTCATCTTTTTTTTTTTTTTGATGCTCTTGTCATCAGACCTCAGTTTTGCCAAGAACAGGCAAAAACAGGTTGAACAGCTCTGTGCTTTACAAAACTATATTGGACTATAGAAAGCAAGGCTAGGAAATACAATGTTAGCATTTCTCTTTTTGATTACTATCTGTTGTATTTAACCTAATCAGGTTTAACCTTTTAAATGAGTTTTGAAATTAAAATTGGTAAACTAGAGCATAAATTTAATACATGTATTGGCCGTGTTTGAATATTACATTAAATTTTAACTTAAAGCAAGTTTCTTGATCATATGTATATTTTAAATATTTGGGTGTAAAAAATTAGAATTACTTTGAGAATAGGCATTTTTCTTTTGGAAATTAAGGAAATGAATCTTCTCTTTTGTATTTTTCCTTCAAGTGCATTTACTTTTTTTATTATTTGATGTCCTGAGTTTCCATAACTAAGGGTCAGTTTAGGGTTAGGTTAAAAAACACAAACTTCCCTAAATTATTTAATGATGTTCTAATAAACCTTAAATTCTTTTTTTTTTTTTTTTTTTATTTTGAGACAGTATCTCACTATGTAGTTCAGACTGGCCTTGAACTCACTGTGTGTCCCAGTCTGGCTGCAAACTGGCACCTGTCTTTGCCTCAGCCTCCTGAGTGCTAGTATTACAGGCATGTGCCACCTCGTCTAGCTATAATTATGTTCTGAGCAGTTCAATTTCCTGTTGACGTTAGAGTCTAAAGAAACCATATGGAATATTTTTGAATTTTTAAATTGTGAAATTATATTAAAGAACATTTTGAAAAAAGAAAAAAGCACTTTATTAGCCTAGCACAACTATTTTAGCATGTATCTTTCCAGTATACCTGCTGATATTTATTCTATGTACATGCAGTAGTGGAATTTGCAGTTTGGAAGAAACTAGGTGTATAACCGTTTTTACTTAAAGAAACTGTGTGATTTGTGCATCATTTTTTTGTATCAGATCCTTCAGAATGCAAAGCAGCATCTTTCTGGCCTAATACAGATTCCAATTATACCATTATAACATTATGAATTTCTTTTACTTCTGTTTTAATATAACCAGGTATAAGGAAAACATCTTGCTATTAAATGGGAATGCATTTGAATATTGGTACACTGTTATATGTTTCCATATATTTATTGTGCCTTTCTTTTTACATTTTTATTCAGCTTTCTAAAACCAACTTTTCCAACAACAATGATTTCCATGCTCTTCTGCAGTCTTTGTATGCTACTTTCAAAGAGTTCAAAATGCATGAGCAGATTGAAAATGAATACATTATTGGCCTACTTCAACAACGCAGCCAGACCATTTATAATGTACATTCTGACAATAAACTCTCTGAGATGCTTAGCCTCTTTGAAAAGGGATTGAAGAATGTTAAGGTGAGTTACAAAAATTGGTATGTAATCATCACAACTTGTGCATTTTGTTGTGTCATTGGCAAAATTCGTTAATTTATAATAAGTGCCTGTATGTTAAAATGTTCTTTCAGTTGTTAAAGACCTAGGAAGACTTTATCAATAGGTGTGAGTGCAGTGGGGCAGCTGGCATTGTGGAAGAGAAATGCACCTCAGCTCTGAGTGCAACAAGAAATTGGGAGAGGTGAATAGCCGTGGAAAAATGGTGGGGTCAATAGATGGTGATTACCAGGAGGAAATGTCAAGGCCGGGAGGATTCTGGCTAGATCAGCTCTACCATAGTTTTGCTGAAGGCAGGCCAGGGTGATAAGATACTTAGGATGAGTGGGAAGGAAAGAGGAATTTGATTAGATGTTGAGATAGGTAGAAACCTCAAGGTAGATTTTCACTAAACTGACTCAGCAGGTTTCTAGCTAAAACTGAAGACTCTGAAGTCGAAGTTCAGGCCGATTGAGGAGGGAACCGGGCTTAGGTTTTGTTACAGGTTTTATCAGTTGTCTCTAATAAGTTTTCAATAAAATTCTAGTGAGTGCTACTCATCATGACTTACAGGTGTTTTTGTAAGTTGAAATTTTAAGTACCATAAATTTGTTATATTCTGTTAACATTTGCTGAATTCTAAAGGAGAGTTATCACTGGAGATACTAAAGGTAAAACGATTACTTAAAGTGCATTTGCACTCTGTAAATTTTATCTTTTATAAAATTAATGGTGGCTCAGTAGTAGAGCACTTACCTAGCATATGTGAGGACTTGAGTGTGTCCCAGGTACCATTCAATAAATAAGTACAATGTTTGCTGAATTTTTTCTTGCAGGAAGCAGGGTAAACAGAAAAATTTTGGTTGTATAAAATAAAGTTAAACATATTTTTGATGTAGTTGAGGATAATGGTATAGATTTTATTAGGTTTTATTCTTAATTACTGTTGTTAATATCTAGTTGTCCCTCCAAAGCCTTATGAGCTCAAATATGGGGCTTTAGAAAGTTGATTAGATTATAGTAGATTATAGATGTTTTGCTTAGGCAGGGCCTAGTCACTGGGAGTTGGACATGGAAGGGTTTATCCTCCCTCCCTCAGCTCCTCTCTTTACTTTCTCTGCTTCCTGCCTGCCTTGCTACAAGCAGCTCCCTTCCACCTAGATCCCTCCACAATGCCTTTCTGCCTTGGAGCCGAGCAGCTGTGAACTAAGACCTCTGTAAACTGAGCCAAAATAAATCAGTCTTCCGTTAATTTATGAATCTCAGTAATGAAAAGGGGACTAAGATTTTGGTACCAGGAATAGGGTTATCACTGACTTTTCTTGAGCATGTGGTTTAGACACCTTTACAGCTGGTTTGCAAGAGGAGTTTGGAAAGGTTTGCAGATTTCAACTGGAGAGTAGCCTTAGATGACTGTGAGCTAAGCTTAGTGGGGGTTTTAGGTTGGAGTTTGGAAGTCAGAATGAAAATGTAACCGGTAAAAACCAGGCTCAAGAGGTTTCAGTTGGCAAGACAGATTCCATTGACAGTTGGACTTCAGACCATGTGTGTTCTTCTCTGGTAGAAAATTTTTCTATATTTTATTCCTGCCTGGATACTTCACAGGCAGTTGAGATTAAGGACAATGAATTAATTTGTGGGTAGAAATTTCAAGGCTGTCCAATGTTGAGGCTGCGGTATACATACTGTTGGGGACTTTTTAGCCAAGTTTATACTGAAAATGAAGAGTCCATTTAAAAAGTTACCAGCTTTGCCAGAAAGTGCCTACAATGATGGAGCAAAGGAGAACTTGGTTGATGAAAAGAGTAACATTAAAAAGAAGCCAAGTGTTGGGCATTGTGGTGCATGCCTATAATCCTAGTACTCGGGAGACTGAGGTGGAAGGATTGCTGTGAGTTCCAGGCCATCCTGAACTGAATAGTGAAACTCTGTCTAGAAAAGGAGGGGGAAAACAGCCAAGTACTATGAATTAGAACATTAGGAAAAAATGGCTTACGGGCATTTCATAAGTTCAGAATTGCAGAGGCAAAAGACTTTGCTTAGAAGGAGCCGTAGGTCATCTTACTCAAGAAGAGCCCCTTAGGTAATTGGTTCCCTGGGGTTTGGTTTACAGTGCCCAGCCATCCAGGCACTCAGAGGCCTCTACAGTTGTAATTCAAGGGGGCTTGGCTGCTCCTGGAGCTTGTGGCAGATCTTGGCATCCTCCATATGGTGCTGGTTTTACAGACATGCAGAATGCAAGTGTTAATAAAAGGCTTCTACCCAGATATCAAAACAAGGTATTGGAAGTGAGTAGTGTGCCCCTGAGAGGGTAGTGTGTGATACTGTGAGTGAAGCGGAAAGTGTAGTGGAGGGACACTGGGAAGGTAGAGAAGCCAAGGGTGTGGAATGTGTGAGGAAAAAGCTACAAGGAAAGAGCATAGCCATCCCAAGAGAGAAGCCATGAGAGGAACAGGAACTAGCCACGCTGTAGGGGCAAGTCTGCCCAAACCATTTGAAGATCAGGTGTCACTTAGGTGCTGTACACAGAGCTAAGGACTTTATGTTTGCCTGCTAGGCTTCAGTCTTGCTTTGGTTTTATTGGTTTCTGTTCTCTTTCTCCTTTTTGCAGTGGGAATGTTTACTTGGTGCCATTGTATGTTGGCACTGTTTAATTTCTTTCTGATTTTCACAGGGTCTTGAGTTTGCCTTAAGTCTTAGAGGTGACTTCAGGTTTGGATTTTACAGCTGTGCTGGATCTGTTAGGACTTCGGCAATTCTTAAAGGTGCACTAAATGTATTTTGCATAAAGAGATACATATGAGTGTTTTGGAGGCCCAAGGGCAGGGTGATGTTATTTGTATCCTGGTGTCCCTTCAAACCTACCTGTGCTGAAAAGTGGGGGTTGAAAGATAATGTAGGATTAGAGCTGACTTGCTGTTAGGCGGTAGAGTCTGATCAGAAGAGGCAGGTCACTGAGGTGGTGGCCTGGAAGTTTCTCTTCCTCCCAGGCTCCTCCCTTCACGGTCCGTGCTTCCTGTCTGCTATGCTCTGAGCCGCTCACCTTGGCCCTGCCCCTTTCATTGTGCCTGTCTACCTTGGAGACAGCTGATTGTGGACTGAAAGGTTACAGCCTGTGAGCCAAAATAAATCTGTCCTCTGTTTTATGGACACGAGGTATTGTGTGCCAGCAATGAGAAGATGACTCAGATAATTACTTTTATATATTATGAAATATTTGAAATTTGGTCTTGCTTTCCTTCTGGCTCAGTGAGCATAGACTTAAGTAACAAAACCATCCAGTGACTGTATGCCCACCTTTCACTTAGAGATTCTGTTCTACTGCGCAGCAGGAAAGAGGGTGGGTTGCAGGGAAGGAGAAGGGCTGCTGGTAGGGAATTCATAATCTCTAGAAGAATATTTCAGGACTTGGTAGGGAGGTAGGAGCTTGAGTGGGGTAGTGTTCTGGGTACTGATGGAAGAGAGATTCACTTTTCTATTGAATATTCTTTGTACTCTGAGTTTTTTTATATTCACATATGTGATGTGACTAGAAATGTGTATGTTTAATGAAGTGTGGTATGTGTTTGAACACACCCCACAGCATCCTTGCCCCTATTTGAAGCAGTATTGGAAGTTTTTGTGTGTGTGTCTGTTTATTTGCTCTGTCACAGCTGCCTTGATACTTTGAATTGTTTCAAACAGTTACCTTGCGTGGTAGTTGCTTTGAGGAAGAGCCTGAAGTCACACAGGTCTGCTGAATAAGGTAGATGAGGATGCTTTAATGTTTTTATGAGTCTGCCGTCTGTTGGATGGCACTTGGCAGCAGTAGGCACCGTACTTTTGATCACATCTTGTGTAGATACTCACAGAAGTGGATTTTAAATAACTGCTTCAGAATGTGGCAAGAGTAACGGGATAAGTGTGTGTTACAGTTAAGAGTCAGACTGGTGGCCAACTGATGGCGTATGTGCTGCAGTGGGCTGCTTGTATTGTTGAAAGCGCTGAAAGGTTCATCACCACTGATTTAGACTTGCCCCCCTAAAGTCTCCTGTGTTCACAGGTGGTGCTTTTAAAAGGTGATCAGATCATGGGGATCTGTACTTAAACTCCGCTAGTCCACTGATGAATCTGGACCAAAACGTGCAGTTAGGAGGTTGGGGGCTGCTTGGAAGAGGCTGGGTGCTATGGGTATCCCTCCCTGCTTGTTTCCAGGATAGCAACAGCTTTCCTCTGCCAGACTTTCCCTGTGCCCTCCCTGCCCTGGAGCTGACAGAATCTGGACTGAGACTTCTAGAAACTATGAGTTAGAGTTAGCCTCGCCTCTTCGTCCCAGGTGTTAAGTGTTGTGTCCAGAGGCAAGAAAGTGGCTAAGGTGGAAGCAATGGGGAGTATTTTGAAGTGAACTAATGGCAGTGTGTCTTTTATTGTAATACTTTTTAGTGTAAATAGGCATGCATTTTTTTGATTTTTATTTCCTTTATTGACTCCCTTTGTCTTCCATTCTTCTCTGCTCCCTCCATCTTTTGATCATTTTCCCATTTGAGAAAGATGTATTTTGTTTACCCCATATTTTTTATTTTGCTATTTAAAATTTGGCTTTCTCAGATAAGAGATACTGTGTGATATTTAAGCTTGTGTGTCTTTTTTTTAACATATGGTCCCTTTTCCTACAGATGATTCAAATTTATCTTTCTTTATGGCAGAGTAATACTTCATTGTGATAAATAACACATTTTCTTTATTCCATATATCTGTCAGTAGACATGTAGGTTGTTTAACTGTTATAAATTATGCTGTTTAAACATGAGTATGTATGCATCACTGTAATAAGTCTTTTAATTCTTCCAGGAAGATAGCTAGAAGGGGAATAGCTGGGTTGAAAGGAATTTTAATCTTTTGAGCAATCTCCGTACTGATTTCTGTAGTGGTTGTACTAGTTTACTTTCTCACCCACAATGTAGGGAATCCCCGCCTCACAGCCCTGCCAGCATTTGTTACTATTT